AAGCTTTTTTGTTGGGTAAATGGAAGTGGTGGTAGCTTCAAGAACCCTTAAATAGTACTAAGAGTGGAGCTGACCTCACTCCTAACCTGAGCCACTCTTTTTTCACACCAAAATGGCTTGCCTACCACAAAGGATACCAAACAGCACAGTTTGGCAGGCCTTATATAAAAGTATTGTCTACAATTATTTTAGGGGGGGAATTCCTTAACCAGGAATGTAATCTACTTTTCCCATTAAAAGAAGTGGAAACTTGTTTGAATGAATTCAGCTAAGCATAACATATCTGTTTGATATCTAGGTTAAGCATGGCTAAGCAGTGAGACAGAGAAATTAAGGCTTATTTCACCTGATTAGCCAATTTTTATTGATAAAAGTAATTTATTTTACTCAAAGTCTTTTTTGGGTTATTTGATAAGATTCTTGTAGCCACAACTAAATGTGAAACTCTTGAGAGTTTTATCACACATCAGATCAACACTCAGTTTTATCAAGACCAATTACACAATGGAAAAAGGAGTTTAGTTGACAGGTAGAGTTTAATGATCAGTGTCAAATGAAGTAGTTTAGCAACGGTCCTCAAAATTTGGAATCCCATTTTAGACATGTTTAGGCATGTTGCATCTAGCTGAATGTAACAAATAATTAGATACCCTTCCATCAGTACAGCAGCAACTGAGAGGTCATTGTTCTTTCGTTCCAATTATAATACAGTTCAGCAAAGTCTTTCATAGCTTTTAAGTATCACAGAATGTCTGACATCTGATTAGACTCCACTCATAACGAACTGGTTCATTCTCAAGGAGGAATTGTATTAGTTTCTTGACAGAAAATCTACTTTTTAACTTGGAGAGCTTAATTACATAATGAGATACAGACACAGGTTTCTCTGTGTTTCTTTATTGCATAGTTGCACACTAATTTAAGTTTAAAATACAGCAGCTAGAAGTTTCTTTACATCACATAAAAACTGAGGAAAAAGGCCTGTATCCTAGGAGAACAAAAGGCATTCCCTGTTACATATGTTGTCCGCAAAGACAATTATTTCAGTAAATTATGATTAGGCAAATAACATACATTAAAATACACAATGTAATAACTGCCATGAAAATAAGACGCACAAAGAAAAAAGCAAAGATGTGCCAAGAAATACAAGTTAAGACATTCAAAATTAAGGCATTCAAATTTTAAAGCAAATACTATTGACTATGAACTTGAGCAGAAAAAGGGACCCTTCCTCAAAAGTAAGCTGTGTAGAATTCCAGTACTCTAAAACCCAGCAGATTTTTGTGAGATCAAAGCAATCTCCATTTCCATAGCTTTCAAAGCCAAAAGATACACTCCTGTCAGACTTAAAGTAAAAACACCAATGCAAGCCATCCATGACAGAAGACAACAAAAGACTGGTCAGGTATACGTGGTGGTGTACACCTGAAGTGCACTGGTGGAAAGTTCTGGGATGTAGCGATACGGATCAAACATTCAAACGCCAAATGAAGCTGTTCCAACTATGAAGTCACCAAGAACAAGACTTCTGATAAGAGCGATATTTAACAGAAATATTGAAAGACAGTTGGAAGTCAGACCAACACAGGTGCAGATCTAGGCTCAAAACTCTTCTACTTCCATTTCAGTAAGCTGTCCTCAAAACTGTTTCTATTACAGTCTTTAATTCCTAGTACTTATTGCCACAGGAACACCTCCCAGTACAGTATTAAGTACAGTACAGTATTAAGTAACGGAAATGACTACTATGCGAGGACAAATACAAATGTGTGCTTTTGACCCTTTTGTATTGTACCATCTAAAAGAAAAGCCTAAAGATTCCCATGGAGACATCTTTCAAATAGAGTTTAACTTAGTTGTGCAAAATTATTACAAATATTAGTTCTAGTCCAACAATCAAATCACATCATTTTTCCCACACGCTGTTTTACATACAGTGCAGGCACACAGAATTATTCCTCTTGAAGTTAGCTTTTGCAAGGCCAATACAGTCATTGTAACATAAAAGTTTAAGAAAAACACACCCAAAAACCCTTTCTCTTCATTTCCAGACTGCTAATTTCAACGACAATCTGCCCTGCAACTGAGATACTGCCTACCTCAACCAGAGATGCTAAAACACTAACACGTAAATGCAAGACAAAACCCAGCAAAATAACTGTAACAGAAAATCCCTGTAAAGCTTATTTTTGTAGCACAGTGCAGTTAATTTTTTCCACGTTGACCCTGTTTCCAGATATTTGAAACAATCAGTGCTGAAATTGAAATTGATTAATTTTATGTCAGTATACTTAGATGTGATTTTATTTAAATATCTACGGAGTACAGCTTATTAACTTTCTCACTGGATAATACACCTATTCTCTAACAAAACTTCCACGACAAGTCCGTGACAATACTTTAACAAAGTAATTAAATGTCTATGAGAATTTTAAATAGATCACTGAAAATAGAATATTCAACATCATCTCTGATGGATGCACGGTGGTGAGCATGTTAAAAAGAGACTTACAAACCTAGGAAGAAAATTTGGTTCAGTGGAGCAAACCTAACCACTGAGAACTCAGTTGGGTATGAGCATACTACAGCATTATGAAACATCTGAAGATTAAACATTTACACCACAGTAGTTGCCTAAAAACAAAATATGTATTTTGTATTTGCATATGCTAGGGAAGCTATATTAGCTAGTGAAACAAGCTCAGTGGATCAGAGGTACTCAAAAACTTGGTGAAAATTAAAAAGGCAACTAAAAAACTTTGAGCGATTGCATGAAGCTTTTTAAAAGACCCATTTATATATGATAGGGATATTGATACAGGCTACCTATAGCTAGCTTAGTGCTGCTGAGTCACCTGTATTTTTAAGTGTGAAGGCAACATTAAGATGTCTTTATATTACAGTTTTTTCTAACTGCTAATAATGAGTAGCAAAAATCTCACCTAGACAAGTTTTTTTTGAACCGCTGCCATCTTTCTACGGGGTCCTCCTCAGAAAAGCAGTTGCAAGAACACCACTGAATGATACTAGATCAAGTTAGCTCAGGCAGAAAGTAAAAGAATTATTTTCCTATTGCCAGAACTGTAGATGTCCCTTCCAAAATTATTTTGGAACCTGTCATTCTCTGGCAAAATCATCACTGATGCGATTCTGCAGACTGTAAAAAGTCTGTCTGATGACGCCAAACACTGTATAGTTCAACTGAGATGGTATAGTTCAACCAAGTTGGTATAGATGGTATAGTTCTACAGAGTTCAATCAAGATGGTAAGGTTCAACCAAGCAGTAAGGGCTTGGGAGAGGTAATGAAGCTGAAGATATATACTGCCATGTTGACTATACTACACAGTAAAAATAAGTATACTACGCTGGGATAGAAGAGAGATTTTCTTACATTTACCATGTAGAGTCACTCTAAGGTTAAGTGGCCACATTTCAAACAGCCAAGGGAGAAAGGCACAACAATAACAATAGCCTGAGGTAGAGCTATTAAGGAAGCAAAGGCAGGACCTGGGCACTTAATTGGTTAAATAAGAATATTCAAAAGCCTTAAAATCATTAGGGTCACACTAAAAAGTGTTAAAGTGCTTTTCAACTGAACACTTAGACTTAAAAAAAAAAAAGTATCGATTCTAAAGTTCTGAATTTAGCATTGACAAGCCAGTGTCCTGGCATCACTTGTGCTGAATCGCATCAGCAACCAGTGACTTTGCTTACTGGCAGACCAAGTAAGACTCCTCAAATACAATCAATCACATCATGAGTTTACAGACAGACCTGCTCCTCATCAGAAAATCTGACCATACATTTGGTACATGAATTTCATGCTCAGGCACACTGTTAAATACAGTAAAGCATAAAAAGACACTGAGAAAGGTGCTCGAGAGACAATTACGGCTAGTAATAGTATGCTTCAGAGGTAGACAATACTTGTGGCAATTGGACCGTAACTCTAGCATAAGGCTCCACAGCTGGCCGCTTACACAACAATTTTGTCTGGTCCACAAATAAATTTCAACCACCACTTAACTTCGTTACCATAAGGTGCTGTAAATACAATCTGGTCCCCAGTTGTCATGAAGCTAGGTAACTCTTTTTATAAGAAAAGTAAATCTTAAGACAAAACTTTGAAGAGAGTGCACTGGTGCTCTATGAGTTACTGGAAAAAAAAACCTTCAGGTATCTGAATGCTGCATTTTGTCCATACTCTCCTAGCACTGGATTAGGTTTCAGAAATTGTTTTTTTTTCCCCAAATCCCATTGGGAGGGTCAGCTAGGGGGAGAAGGCGGGGGGGCAGTTCTAATTTTGCTTTGCTTTGACAGAATCAATTTCCTGGGATCAATTGGACATTTTTGCCTAATTTGCTACTCTTGCCAGTCATGAGATACTGGTGAATTCTCTTCTGCTTTCTTCTCCTGGCACATTATTAATACAGAAAAGTAAAACCTGCCAAAGCTAAAAGCTTCTACATTTGTTATAAGGTTTTTAGAAAAAGTCTTCTGGCTTGTGGTGTAGATAGAGCAGACATTCTGCAGCATCCACATCAAACTTGGATCATGCAGTCAATAAAATGGAAAGAGATTAGATTCTATAAGTCATTTTTCCCCTTCTCCTCTTGTTATCCTAAGTGCCAAGGAAAAAGGAAGAAGATAAAATGTCTCTGTGTATGTGAGTAGAGAAGCTAGTTTTCTACCCAAACCTCTGAAACAATTCCACAAAAGGATCTAATCAGTATTAATACTTTTCACTTCTTCACACTTCCTGCTTGCTAACATGTTTTTAGTTGGGATTATTAATTCATGCAAGTCACTGAAAGAGCATTTGAAGAGACACAGAACAATTCAGAAAAGAGGCAGGGGAAAAGATCTCCTGCCCTTATTTTTCCTTTAACTGTAAAAATAATTCCTTGTTGATCCCTGCTTTAAAGTAAGTCAATTCATTACAGGTTGATATTATTTACTTCTTAAAAAAAGCAAAACTAAAAAAAATCCACAGCTTCTCTACTGAAGGTCAAATGGCACTTAGCAGAACTGAAACTGGCTGGCTGTGAAACTGTATGGCATACACACACTGCAGAACAAGGAAAAAAAAAATTAAAAAATAATGTCAGTTATATCCAGATATTGCAGTCTGGACTGACATTTCGTAGGCCATCTATGGCCTGATCTGCTCAGCATGGTCCTTGGGCTGTACTTCAGTATTCAAGAGATACCTGCTTTGGAAGGATGAACGGACGGTTCGATTCATTAATGGCTGAAGAGGGCGAAAGTTGTCTACCATTCTCTTTTCTTCTTCACCATCTGAAGTAAAGAGCAGCATCCGAAATGCCTCCAGCTGAGAATGAGAAATGTCCAATTTTGTGACTTTAGTAACTGGAGAATTATTGGAGTTCATGACAAAACACAATCATTCATGCTTGGAGGGGGGGGGTGGGCAGGAATCAAAGGTACTATTATATTTGCATTCTGAGAAATTTTAGCACAAATTTCTGGCAGTTCTTTGTCACCTGCTGGTAAAGATTATGCCATCATCCATATCAATGCAGAAGATGAATTGTCAGTCATCTGCCATCTTCAGGCAAACTAAATCTCAAATGTGGCACATCTGAGACGGAACCGATTCCCATTCAAATACGGGAACATATGCCATCTTTAAATAAACCTCTCCAACCTTCTTAACTTACACCCTTCCTAGAGTTCTGTTATCTTATACAGACATGCATATGCTTGCACCCAGAAAAGAGGGAACCTCAACAAGCAACAGTCTACATAGTTGTTCTCAGTGGTTTATAACTGGGGATTAAAATAAAATATGCAGCAGATCAGCTTTTAATGCTTACAAGGGCATTACAATGTTAAGTAAACTATGAGCCTTGCTATGCCATAAAAGAATGAGAATGAAGAAGAGCCAAGAAAAAAAAAAGAGAAAAAGTTTCAATTGAAAAGAAGAATGACACACTATGCATTCAGTTCTCTCTGCTCTGTTAACAATCTTCAGTTCTTCCTGTCCTGTTCCTTTACGTAAACTAAAACATTAAGATCACATACATGCCTATTCTTCAGAGCTAGTGTTTGTTTGGAGCATAACTTTCTAGATGGATTGTAATGTATTTAAAAAAAAAAATCTAGATGTATAAAAAAAAAAAATCAGTATTTTGCCTCATGTCATTGGACTCGCACTTCATTATTAATCAAAGCCTCAAAAAAACAGGGACAATGCACAAATAACTTTCAGTGCCTCCTAAACAATGAAAAAAATGGTAGATTTTTTTGGGTTGTTCATTTTCACTTGCTTTGCAACAATCTCCAAGACTTGGTCTATGCTGTAATGCCCCTCAAAGTACTCCACTTCCTTGAATAGATAAAATCCTGAAAACTTCCAACAAAACACACAATTGTAGTACAATTCCAATGACCATTTTCTGCTTGTCCCTACATCTACCAAGGAATAACATCACATTGAAACATGAAGTACTAAAATTAAAAGCAGCAGAGGGCATACGGTGACAAGTTTGGGTTGGTGTCAAAACAAACTATCAACTCCTCCACTTGAAATAACTTCTGTAATGCAAACATTTGCTGAAACCCTTGTTTGTCTGTCCTTTTTAAAAGGGAATAAAAAAAAAGGAATTCAAGGACAGTACAGCCAAATATAGAGTAAACATGCCTACAAAGGCAAAGGAGAAAACCCAGTGGGGACTCATTCTATCTCTCGCAATCAGAATGGCACGTGGAGGACTCGGAGCCACCCACCATCCTTTCTGTACCTTCAGAGTCTGCCTAAGGAAAGAACAGAGGATTAGCCCTTGCAGTCTCTGCAAGATTTCTGTGCAAATGCATGTGACTATCAAGAATATGCGCAAAAGGTCAGAATTTGGACTATCACAAAACCTGCCCTTCCTCCTCCCTCCCTACCACAAAAAGGGCTGCATCCTGGTAAGGAGAGCAAAATTATGCAATAAATAACCTTAGAAGTTTTCAAGGGGCAGTTTCCAGCATAAGGCATTGTTTATCACAGATCAAGATAAAACTCTGTTGGAGAGCTGGAGAAGCATCTTTCGCTGCTTACTGAAGAGGTCTTAAGTCTTTCAACATTAGCTCTTGTTAATGTCAGGATACCTCCCCAAACAAACACTGGGTGTGAAGCAGCCACTGATCTCTGTGTATTCACAGACAATTACTGGTACTAGTAAGCAACTACTTCTTTGCATCTTCTCCTTCATGGCAGCAGACAGTCAAACAGGTATATATGATTAGAAATATAAGCATGAGATTTACCTGATTCTCATCAACCTCTATTGGCTTCTTCTTAATAATCCATGTGACTGATTCAGTAAGTGGAGGAGTAGTCAAAGAGCCCGCATAGGTCCAATAATCAGGGCATGAAGGTATCAAACAGGAGGGATCAAAGACATCAAACTCGATAACAGTGTCCTAAACCCCAGAAAGAATTTATTTTTAAAAATTGTATTTTGAGAAAAAAAATGACAGAAGATTTAAAAGGATCTTAACAATGAGATTAAATACTGTACATGTTATGCATGCACATGCAAAATTAGGTATTGTGAATATAAATAATGATCTACATAAAATAATAATTTAAAACCCCATAAACTTGTACAACATTGGTAAGCTGGGTTGAGGCTTAAGAGGCAGCTAGTGAGTAGACAAAATTTAAGTATTTCTGTTGTCCCCACAAGCCATTAGGAATTCAGTGTGGAAGAAACAAGGAGCGCGAAGGAGCAACTGACTACATCTTCATGGGAGCTAGAAGCAAACAGGAAAAAGAAAGAATAAATGGTGGAATAAGCTCAGGTAGTTCTGCCAGATATACTTAATAGACTGCAAACAATAGTGCACTTATTTTCACCACGTGATTTTAGGCAGCGGGGAGAGGGAAGAGGACTAAAATTTCATTTAAATCACATCAAATATTCACGTCTCCAGAATGTGCACTCCCACAAGTGAGAGTGCACATACCAGACAGCATGTAGGAGCTTCAGAGCCCATGATTTCCTACACAAACATTATACTCCTGGAGTATTTCCAGGATATACTGGCAATGCAGGAAAGGAAACTCCTGTTTCTCCTTAGATAGGCTTTATCGGTTCCCCACTAAGAATGAGAAATATTACAGTAAAGAATTCTTCAAAAATAGGGGGTTGGACAAGAGATTCTTGATGGGAGCTTTGACCCATCATGTGAGAGAGGAAGGTGCAAGGACATCAGAATGGGTATTATCTGACCTTTCTCCTCCTCCTCCTAACCAGGCTGATGTTCCTCAGGGTTTGGTGCTTAAGTCAGTGATAATGCTGGCAAGGCAACAAAGGTTTTCAAACGTTTTAAACCAAGTGCTTATGAGTTGTTGGGTAACAGACACCCTTTGGAAATGAGATCTCTTTCAGAGCAGCCCACATGCAGCTTGGTAAGCCTAATGTTTGATTATTTTTTTTTTTTTTTTAAAAGAGATCTTGACTTCAGTTTCTTTCAAATTCATATGCTGTAAAATATTATATTCTCATAATGGATGTATATTCACAGATTTTTGTAGGTCTTTTTGGCACTGAACTGACTCATTTGGCATTTATCTGGCAGAATTTTCACTGCACTGCCATAAATATTTGTTTTATTTGGATAAAAAAAATCCTTACTGCGATAAATAATGGCACAGCGACTTCAACTGGATGTGCTTACAAGCCAGCAAAATTCTTGATGTGTGTTTTTTGTGTGTACTTTCTAAAAGGAACTGGCACCTGGAGGAGCATGAGCTGCTTCTGAGCACTATCAGAGATGCAGCACTCCCTCTCCTGGCAGAAGTCAGAGATCAGCTATGAAGAAAGAGTCCTATTCCCCTAGCAGTGTTTAAAAAAACAAAAGCAAACAATAATCTCCTCCTCAAAGATCAAACAAAAATCAGAAAGCCTTAATTCCACAAGAAATCAACTACCACTTTACACAGCACAGAAAGTACCTTCCAGTTAAACAACATACAAAACCTAATCCAGTGGCATATGTTTTCATAGAAGCTAAAGGGCAGGCTTCAGTGAGGGCAAGCATTAAACATGTGCATGCCCTTCTAAGGGGATACAATCTCAAGAGCATCATTTCTTAAACCAAGAGGTTTGGAAAGCTTAAAGTATACAATTCCTCCTTAAAAATTAGCTTTCCCTCCCCTCCAGTATAATCAACAGTTCATTCAAGGTGTCAATCAGGCCCCCTACTGACATTTAAGGAAGAAAGCATTTATTAGTGTTTTGCTGTTCTCAAAGTATTCTTTATGTTGAATGACTGCGTTAGCTCTGCTGAGTGATAACTGGTGGGACACTTAAAAATACTCACCTTGTGTTTAACCGCCGGCAAGGCATCAACCAGTGTCTGCAGCCCTTCATGATGTGCTCCTAGCTGCAGAAGACAGGTAGGAGTTAGAGAATCATTAACTTGACATTCTACATATCTACCTTAATCAGTATTTTTTGAAAACAACAACAACAAAAATCTAGAGGTATTTTGTCCTAAATCGGTTTTAACAAAATGAAAATAAAAAGGCATCATTACAGCTTATTACACAAAGAGAAATTACCTTTAAAAACACTCCAATAACAGCCAAGCCGTTACCTTCCATTACAGCTTCTTCAAAAGTTGGGTACACAACGGCATTCCAGTGTACTAAATGCAACTGAAATATAAATGAATGAGAAATCAACACATGCACAGAGCACAGCAATGGTATCAAGCAACTTGACTTTTGATCTTTGCTAGATTTGGTCCTTGGCAATTTGAGACACTGCAGTGAGCTACCTAAGAAATCACACACCAAAAAAATGAGAACCAAAATGTTATTGATAAATAATGGCACTTCCCTTCTTTTTTTTTGTGCCTTTTTTTAAACAATAGCCAAAGACCTATAAACTACATTTCACACATATGAAAGGGATTTTGTCTGTGGGAGACTAATTACAGGAATGCTAGTTAAAGGTACAAAAAAAGCTTAGTATACCTGGAACTGGAGGACTCTTCCATCTCTCAATAGGAAGAACAGAGCACGTTATTCTGCTGAGGAACATTCTCCTGCATGTAACATAAGCTTCCTCTGCATTGCTTACAGTCCAATATAAGTGTCCCATTGAAGGGTTTTGTGTATTAAATAGATAGACAGCACCAGTCCCAAAACTTAAGTCATACAGTCTTGCTGTTAATAAATATCTTGCCAAGCTGACAGGCATCATTATGAACACATTAACAGGAGATAAACATCTTCTCAAAAATAAGCTATAGTAATTTTTCAAATTCTCCATCTTTGGCATATAACTATGATTATACCTGTCATACTTTTCTCTCTGAGCAACTTAATCAGTTTTTTTCCCCATTGGCTCCATCCTTTTTATTGACTCTTTCTGCCTTAGTAGTTACTTAATCACAAAAGTTTTGCTACTTTAATAATGGCTTAAGAGTTGAAAACAGAAAATAAAGTGATCGTGATAACCACTATATCACCATAGGACTCTGTTGTACATTATTCTAACGACTTTAAGAAAAACACAAAAAATTGTTGATAACTGGAATAAACTTTCTAACATTAGCCAAGGCTCTGGCGTCACATACACAAGACAGTTAGGTATACAAGGTAAGCAGGACCAGGCTTCTTGAGTTACAGGTATGGCTGTGGGAATTAAATAATCTTCCATTTTCTCTTTAAATATTTTTTTAAGAGTATTTAGTATGTGCTTTGTTTCTCTGCAAGCATTTAGTAATAATAAACAAAGTGATTTTAAAGGAGTAAGGATTAGGAGATTTGCAGGTCCACTAGAGACAGCAGCTGAGATGCAGTGCATTCACCGTACTCCCAAAAAACCAGATCCAACACCTCATGTGAACTCTTAGCTTACTGCAGCTCAGACGTGAAGCACTTACATTTTTTTAATTGAGCTTGCACATTTACCTCAGTATTTGCTGCCCACCTGATCTGCACCAGATCAGATGGGATATAGGAGTTCATTAAGACCTCATTGTGCCCTCAATCTGCTTTCTCTCTCATCCTTTTCCCCTTTAAAAGGAGGAAGGACAAGCAGAGCTTTGCCACTCCATCCAGAGAGAGCTGGAATAGCAGTGATGCTTTGCTGCCTGCCATTGCTTTGTCCAGTAGCTACCCCTATGGACATTCAGGGAGCAGAAAACATTACTGAAACTTTCAGTAATGGGGCCAAAGTTCAATTTTAAGACTGTGTTCTTCTCCAGAAAACACAGTGAATATGAACTTAACAGTAAAACAGTAGATGAGCTGTGGCACCTATCAGGTCTGTTCCTTGAGAGTAAACTGCAACTCTTCAAACTGGGAGTTTTCTAGCATGGATTATAGTCACAGACAGCCTGAGACCTAGTCTCCAGTCCCCATAAGTATTTGCATTGTTCAGCTTTTTATCTCATACCTCTGCCGGGTAAAATTTACTGTCAACTGTGTGCTCTGAACCCCACTCATTTATAGCTCCCCAGTGGAAGTGGAACTGCTTTAGCCTGTATTGGTTTTCCAAGGGACCTCCAACGATTACTAAAAAACAAAACAAGACACACATATTAATAAACATGATTTAGAATTGTCCAGACAAGTAACACAGCAAGATCCTGCTTGAAATAAGTTTGCCCAGGGAAGAAATCAGGTGGAGCAAACTATCTTACTGAAACAGTCCCCTATTGCTCGGCTACTTTTACAATTTACTTTGCTATAACAGAACTGTTTAAGCGAACACATCACTGTTTTTCCCTGCAGTCTGAATCAACTATATCAAATTGAAGATGATAAGCTAAATAGTCTCCTCATCCATCTCCCCTCAAGGGAATTACTGTTTTTTTTCCTATCCACATCAAGTTTGGCAGAGTCGTGGAAATTATACATTACGTTCTACGCTCTTCTCTTTGAGCAGGCATATGAGAACTGCCTTACCAGAAGAAATATGTATGATGACAAAGCAATGAATACATCTATTAAATGACATCCCAGCAAAGCCTCAATATCTATGAAAAATATTGAAATGTCCCATGACAATACAAGACTTCAAAAATCCAATTTTGCCAGAAAAATCAGTACATTGTGTCAAACATTCTGCTTTTGTTCAAGTTACAAAAATGCAAACATACTATTCTGCTTCAATGCAGCTTTCAGACTGCATAACCAATGTTAAAAGATTTCCTGCACAACCAGAAATATGCTAACATTGTGCCTACTGTAAACTGTTCAAGCTACACTCCACAAAGCATCTAAAATTAGTCTGCCTGTGGGCAAGATTCTGAGTTTCTGGAAGATTTAATGCACTTTTTAGCCATGAACAAAAGTAAACATTCAGTCTGCTCTCCTGATTTCAGAAGGCCTCTCATCATTTTGCAAATACATGAATGAAAAAGTCTATGCCTAGTTTTCTGCATACTGTTGGGTTTTACTCATTTCCTCCTAACTGAACCAGGAACATCCTGCAAAGTCTTCTTGCTAGTTACTACATCACAGTATCTGGTAAATGAGAGACCATAATTACTTCCAAAGGGCTAACAACAAATAAGTAGCTGTAGAGACCCATTTACTGATTTTTACTTAACTGTACGTCATGATTAAATTTTATAGCAAACCACTGTATAAAGTACATAATCCCAACACTACTTTTGAAAAGAAGCTAATCACTTTAATGCTAAGGAGAAAACAATGAGAGGCATTAGAGCTTTTCTTGTCTTTTTTTTTTTCTCTGAAAGCCAGCCAACAGTTTTGAAATTCTAACTAGATAAGCCTGCATGTGATAAAAGACTAAGCTAAAACAAGCTATGCAAACTGACATTTAATTAATTTCACCCACTGCTGCTAAGCTCTTAGCATAAATGCAATACTGACCATCACTAAAAAAATAATGATGGAGAAAGGTAACTTTCAGGGATGGGATGAAGATGTGGCCCACACTGCCAAGTCTTTCAGAATTAAAGTTTCTGCATTCTAACACTATCCATTCCTGATTATGTGATGATGCAAACCCACAACTGACTACATGCATGTTAATAATCACATTCCCTTGAATGTTTACCTCACGAGTAAAGTTAGGCACAGGCACACATATGTAGAAAATCAGGTTCCTATAGTGGACACTAGAAAGTGACAGCAAACAAATAGGAACTTACAGTCTCTTTACAAGCATTTTTGTCGTTTCATTTCCTCTCAATTTACCAGTTTTGATAATTTCAAAACAAAACAGAAGTTTAAAGGAACTCTAACAACAACCAGAGGAAAGAATCACATCAGCTTTTTATTGTAGCCCTAGCTCTGTTTCAGTCTCGTTTCCTTGCAGCAGATGGCATTCATGCACACAGACAGGACCATGTTCTGTACATACCTTCCCCACACCCTCTTTCTTCTTCATCCTCCTTCTCTGCTCATAAGCAAACACCCCATGGCAGCACTACCTTCATCTTTTGCCCAAGTCTTGTTTTGCCTCATCTTAGGAGTTGGGCATTTTTGTCTATCCTGGGTGCACACTTCTTTTGTTTTTTTCATCTTCTGTTTCAATTTTGTTGCCTTTTTTTGTTTATTCATAAGCTTCCTTCTCTGGATTTCTATTATTGTTAGACAGAAGCTGGCAGAAAGAAAAATCAGAAATAGCAACAGTAAAGAGAGAAAGGTGGAGGAGAAAGGCAGGCACTTGAAAACTTGGCCATTCATACAGCAACATCCCGTGATCTGTTGTTTCTCTGTCATGTTGGAGTCCTGTCACTGATCGTCTAATCCCATCCTCCACTAGCCGTCATCACCCTTCATTGACTTTAATTCATTTGAGGAAGATGATGATGACGAAAAGGCAGGAATCCAGAAAGAGGCGGCAGGAATGAAAGATTTACCTCAAGTGTTCAGTCTTACAGATGAAGCGGGTAAGATCTTTCAGAGCTGTGATGCGCTCTGAATAGCCAGCCTCTGAAAGGCCAGCACCCCTCTAATTGACAGTCCTGATGATTCCATGTTTGCCTCTACGTCACAAAAACTGTCCCTGTGTATTTAACCTCCTGCAGGCAATTCCCCTCCATTACATGAATTCTTGCAGAAAAAAAAATTACTTTGTTATCCATCGAACTGCAAACCATTACACTTTTCAGGAACGCATCCTCAACAGATAGCAGGGTATGGCTGTATAAAGTAAGAGACTGTTAAATTAAAAGCAAAACCAATCTAAAGTTAGTAAGTTAAAATCACTGATGAGCTAATAAGTGATGTCTCCATCTTAGTCTCTCCTCTAACCCCACCTCACTAATGCAATAGCAGTTTGTAGTGTAAAAACAGAAGGGCACTACTTGGTTTCTTCATTACATATCATAGCACTCAAATGAACAAAGGCAAGAATATTCTCTGGTTAGAAACTAATATTCTGAGTGAACAGCTATAAATAATAAAACCAAAAAAAACCCCAAACATCACACAAGCCCCTGAAAGCTCCGTGCATTCCACCACTACCATTTTTGCTGCATTGTTTTATCAGCCTCTTTCCAAACTTCAACCAAAAATACTGGTATTGCAGAGACAAAGCATTTGTTTATTAGCATGCTGAAAGCTTCCTTCCCAAGAGCATTACTAAATCGCTTACAAAGTTCTAGCATCTCTCATGGTGAGCAGTCACCTTAAAAATAAATGACTCCAATCAAACAGGTTCAAACTTGCTCAGGGTCCCTCAATTTTTCGCTCCCGGACAAGTTGAATAATCGACATGAATCACGTGCTTCGCAACATCCCTGACCAACTGCTACCAGTTCACCTACCTTTACAAAGTATCTTCTTTATACATACCAGCAATATCCTTTGGTAAAGTCAACTTTTAAAAGGAACAATGAAATTTGGAATTTGGTAGCAGTATCTGGATTTTAAGTCACTTGACTCTATTGAGCATTTAAAAACGATTTAGGTGCTCAGGTCAGAGTGCTTATTCACATTAAATTGCTGAAATGCATAATTTGATTTTGCATGCATGGACTCCTGCTTATATTAAAACAACAGGAACACATGCACTTGCTCCCTATGGTAGCAGCTCAGTATTACTTAATTCTCCAAAAGCTTATTGAGATAAGTATATATGCAACTGAAAGTCATTTTGCTGCTGATTATTTCAAATGCATTAAATGTATCTGTTAACACCACAAAAGAGATAAGTGGCAGATTACTTTATTAAAGTGTAATGATGGAATCTCATTTAAAATTAAATAGATACATATACATATGACTGAAGATTAACTCATGTAGACAAAGCTATGGTATTACAAGACATAATCAAAAGGCAGGGCATTAAGGCTTGTGCAATAAGAGTAAGTTTCAACCTACAACAGAGGATTTGTGCGCAATGTCCATGGTAATAAATACATAGTATAGGTGAGGCCTACATAGAACTTCTGTATTACAATTCCCATCACTGTAAATCCACATTTAGCTAAAGCGTTTACTGTACATTCATTTTCAACATCTGTCCTGAGGTTTTACATCATGCAAATATTTCTCCTCTCTAAGCATTAGTAAAACATTAAATGGATTTTTCTGAGTTTTGCTTACTTGATCTATCAGTAGAATCATCAAACTCAACCAGGAATGAATATCCATTGTTCCATATGTGAAGACACGTTGTTGGGTCATAGCTGATTTTCAGAGGCTTCAGAAAGGGGTCATAAACACTGTCTCTCCACTGGATATTGATAGGAGACTGTCGGGTGCCTCCAGGAATTGTAAGCGGACTCTGCCAAAGTGGATGCACTGGAAGATGATGAAGAGAGTCAGACTCTAATGCACGATACACAACTTCCAACTAAATACTTCAGAACTTTTTGGCAAGAGAAGGTGCTTTGGCATATTGGCTCCAAAGGCTAATTCAAGTCAGCTGATGCACATGAAAGTTAAAAAAAAAAGAAAAAAAAAATCCAGTTGTATGACTCAAAGCCACACAGGGAAGTGCAGTTATTTGGCTTACAGCTGTGTTGATACCTTTCTGCATTTGCAAAATTCTCTTCAAAGAAATTCTGTCCCCTTATTTGCCAGAAAATTTTTTTCCTTTTATTGCCAATTATTTTAAGGCGACTTCTGTTTTACAGCTTTGCCAAAGTCTCAGCATACCACTTCAGCTTTCCTTATACACCAGTACCATCAACTGACCTCAGATCGCACCAGACACAGGATAACTCCCAATAGAAAGCAAAAATATTCTCTTGAAGGTGCCGGTCTTTTGCCTATGTGTGCTTAGGGGTTACACCACTAAGAGTGTAGTGCTCCTGAAGCACCCACACCAGTATTGACCAAGACTGCCTTAGGCAGTCAAGACCTACAGCTGATCCCCACACCTGTAAAATCCCAAACTACCAATTTTGGGGGCAGCTTGGGCACGAGCAGGGCAGATGCATGAATACAGCTTCCACGGGATTTTATTCTGCTTAAAAACAGAACTGAGACCTGTATGGACTTGTTCACCTGCTGTCCCCCGACATCAACATCCACAAAGGTTTTTTGTACCTTGCCCATCCACTGAACCCAAAACGGAGAGGCTCTGAAGCACTGCGTTACTGGCTACTTCATTAGATACAACTGCTTGCGGTCTTTCACAAGGGGGGGGTAAAAATAAATTAAACCTTTTAACAAGCCACTCACGTGAGGGGTGGCTAAACAACCTTCCCCCTCGGTTTCCTCAGCAAGGGGCAAACTTTATCGGCCTGCGCAAGGTCACCGCACGCAGGTAACGCAGAGGCGGGCGAGCAAAACGTTCTCCAAAAGTGCCACAGCTCTGTGATTGTTAGTGCCATTTCCTGATGTTTCAGCACGGAACCGTCACGGACAAAACCAGCCTAAACTTGGCGTCCTCCCCTCTTCTACACAAACTTTCTAGGCATCGGCAGCCCCCTCAGCCCGGGGAGCTGGAAGCGATGGAGGGACATGGGCGTTGCCCGGACCCGGGCCTTGGGCAGGCCGGGGAGGGCGCAGCGCGGTGGGCAGCGGGGCTGCCTCG